ATCACGAATAGAAGATATATATATATTCAATACATCGTTAATCAATTAATCCATTAATCAATTAACTCAAATTATAATTATAAGTCAATATATATATCTTCAATTAAATAAATTCGTTACACCGACCATTTATTTTCTTATGAGTCTTGCTTTCGGAATTTTAACATGTATATCAAGTCAACGTTTATTTGGTGTCGAAACAATTGATCATACTTTTGAACGAGAAAGTCGCAATTATTTTCATCCATTTCAATATTGGCTTGCAAAAAGTTTAGTCGATATTATTCGACTAATTTTGTATCCATTACTTTTTGTTAGTATGCTCTATATTGAAATTGTGCCACGTGGTGCATTTGGATACTATTTCAGTGTTATGATGCTTCTTTCGTTTGTTTGTTCAGGTATTGGACAATTAACTTCAGTCATTTTTAATCGAACTGAATATGCCTATCTTGCTGGTACAATTGTTGCACTTTTGTCTTGTCTTCTATCAGGTTTTAGTCCGACGAAAAGTGAACTTGGTCGTGGTGATTTTATTGTAACACTTTCTTTTTCACGTCATGTTCAAAATTTATTATTTCGTTATGAAACATCACTTTATGTACAACCAATAGGAACTGGTCCACATATATGGTCGGCTTCGGTCGAAGAACTTCGATTTTATTATTCATTTAGCGACAGTGAAAATCCATACTTATGCCTTCTTCTTATCGGATTTATCCTACGTGGACTTACTTTTGTATTTCTCTACGCAAAATCGGAATATCGATCACAAACACGCTTTCGTGTAACGCATATTGGTCCTACTATGAAAAGTTTAATTTGTTGTAAGACATGTCGTCAATAAATGTTCAATTTGATATTCAATGACTAGAATGTGCTAAAGTATTCTCGCTCGCTCTTTCTTTTTATTCGATAGCTCTACTGTTGGATCAGATTTTTTTAAATTCAAAATTGCAACTTCTTTAATTTATCAATTCAACTTAGTCAAGAACAATGATACTCTTTTACCGATGTTGCGTATTATCATCACTGACTTGATAATAATTATCAGTTAATTGAACGCTTTTTAAAATAAATCTAAAAGTGCACGATTGCAATTTTGATTCCTAATCCGATTTAGAGTGAATCCAGAATTGTATTTTAAAAACCCATATTGAGGGTAGGGTGGATGAAAGAAAGACCCCACATCCACCCCTACCCAGACGGGCCACGTAAATATGCATTTTTCGTTTCAAAGAACGACTGTCGACTTTGCTCGAAGATCAGCTTGTCATTATTTCTTGCCGAAATCGACCACTATTGTCAAACAAGTCTGAAAATCAATTGGAGCGAATAATTTTACTTCAAATGTTGAGAATGTAAAAACAGTTGAGCATATATAAACGGCAGTATCAACCGTTTTCGACTGTTGATATTGTCCATTGATCTAAATTAACCCATCGAAACTGTATGAAACACCTGTTTTGGGTGTACAACGTTTTAATATGCGTTAATTTCTGTCTATTGACTGCTAGGGTATCACGGATCAGAATATAGATTTATAGGTTCAAATGATTTCTACGTAGTACAAAAAAAGCGAAAATTGTTAATCTTGATTGAAATAGAATGTTAGTGTGTGTATCCACCGACCCCTTTTTATTGGAAAAGCTGGCTATTTATACAAAAAAGAGTCATATCACACACAGAGAGAGAGTGATATCATACAGAGAGAGAGTGATATCATACAGAGAGAGAGTGATATCATACAGAGAGAGAGTGATATCATACAGAGAGAGAGTGATATCATACAGAGAGAGAGAGAGGACAACATGAACACAAAGATAGTCCTAACACACAAAAGATAGTACTAACACTAAAGATAGTACTAACATAAAAGATAGTATTAACACCTGGGTGGACCTCGAACACAGAGCAGCAACAGTGAGAGAGAAAGAGAAAGGAAGAGCACATTCCACGTCATCGTAGCAGCCATGAACGTGAACGATGCTAAGGCAAGATGTAGGGAGGCAAAGGAGATACTGTAGATGGAGCCGCTCTATGACCTAACCGGAGGGCAGGTCATAACACCTCCCCCTTACAAACAAGATACACGCCCTGTGCATCAGGAGAAGCAACATAAATTGACGGGCGGGCGAGTAACAATGGCCTTGAGTGTGTTCGTTGTTGCTGTCATTAAATTCTCGTGGTGGAGTTCTAGTGGAGTCTAACCTTGAGTTGCCACACCTCAAGTTGAATCCTAAATACTGGTATGGAGAGGCTGCCACATCCTCTCTAATAGCCGATGATGGTGATTGTGCCAGTGTATTTACGGGTGTCAAATGCGGTTATACTCGGCGTTCGACAGCCGGCTGTAGTTGTCCGACGTGAGCACAGTTCGTACGTCCCGTTTTGTCATCTTGCACTATATAATTTTGATCACCCGTTTTGTTGATCACACGGAGTGGCCCGAACCATCGTTGATCCAACTTGGTGCGGCCAGTGCACACCTTGACAAAGACCAGATCGCTGATTGAATAGGAAATGTCTTTGCGATGGGTGTCATATCGTTGTTTGGATAGTTGTTGTTGGTGACGAATGTTCTCTTGGGCTTGTTTCAGAAGTGTACTCCGAGTTCTTTGTAGCCGTTTGTAGAAGTCGTCAGGTCGAGGCAAAGTGACACTGTTCGAAGTGGAGTCGAACGGGCTCTTTTGTTGTCGGCCGAAGGCGAGTTCGTATGGAGTGAATCCGGTCGTCGCATGGATGCCGGTGTTGTAGGCATAGACTATGGATTGTAGGTAGTCATCCCAATCGTCTTTGTCCTCGTCGTAGTATTTGGCCAGTTGCGTACAAAAGGTGGCATTGAATCTTTCCACTTGGCCATTCGTCTGTGGGTGATACGACGCAGAGAAAGCATGTGTAATGTGAGTGGCCGATGTGATCATTTTCATCAGTGCATTATTGAAATGCACACCATTATCCGAGATTAATCGCTCAGGTGCACCATGCACCATGATGAACTCGTTCATAATGAAGTCGGCTGCTGCTTTGGCAGTATTGTTGGGCATCGGTTTGGCCATTACATATTTTGACAAGTTATCGGTGAGTACGAGTACATACCGATTTCCTCTTGCCGATGGTCGAACAGGACCCCATAAGTCCATATGCAGAACTTGAAATACATCGGCGGGCGGATCGAAGGATTTGAGGTGGCCAGGTGTCTTGCCACGCACTATATTGTGTTTTGAGCACTGTTGACAGGATGAGATGTGGTGCTCGACTGCTTGACGCATGTTGGGCCACCAAAATCGACCTCGGAGCTTGCACAGCGTGCGCCGAATACCGAAGTGGCCACTCAAAGGGTGGTCATGAAATGCTTCGAGCACGGTGCTGACCATCGATGCAGGCAAATATGGCACTCTACTTTTGATACCACCTCGCCTTTTGACAATGAGCCTAAACAGAATGTTTTCGCGTAACACAAAATCATCAGTTTTGTTTTTGTCGCGAATGCGCGCGGTTATCTCTTGAATCTTTTTGTCAGAGCCTTGTGCCGTTTTGATCTTTTCCAGGCTCAGATCAATTATCGATGTAGTTGTTGTTGTAGGCGGCGGTGTGGTAGGCGTTTTTATAACCGGTGACGATGGTGTATTTGGTTTAATAAACCTTTCTTACACGTCAATCTATACCTATTCAACAGAAAAAAACCTTATCATAGGCCAAAACGTAAAATCAAATAAATTATCTCAATGCTATTGTAATGGGATATACCTTCCTGTGAGAAACAAATACTGTCAACCAATACTCATCGGAGATCACAAATCTATATGGGATCGGTACAAAAATCTGTGTGATAATACATTCAACAAACATGGCAATTTACAATGGCTACCAGTGATCCAATCGACGGATCTATATGACACTATAATATGCCTCAAAACAGTCTCAGAATTGCATCACAATGCTATGATTGTCTTCATTACCCACACAAACTTTACATCTGAAGAGTGGGCGAAAATCAATTCATTGAAAATGAAAAAACAAGTGATAAAAACACCTATGGATGACTATGCTCTTTCAAATGCTGTGATAAAATATCTCACAAATCTGGGCGGAAAGGTAGCTATACTTGATGATATGATGTGCCCTAAAGACACCTACTTCATCGGTATAGACATGGGGCATCGGTATGATCACAAGAATGCTGCGGAAAGTTATACTCAATTAGTGATGTCACTTATCGATACCGCTGGTACAATTATAACATCAAAAAGTGTATCTCCATTACCACTCAACGAAGCGCTTTCTCCCTTCGCAACGATAAATATATTGAATCAAATAAAAAATACCATATCGAAAATAAATCGGAAGATGCCTAAAAAACTTATCTTTCATCGAGGTGGCAAGGTACATGTCGATGATGTGCAAATCATCCTACAGTCTGTCAAACAGGTATTCGGTATAGAGGATATCGAGATCATAGAGATCATCAAAAGCGGTCATCCATATGTCACTGAATATCTCAATAGTACATGGCACAATAGACCATCCGGTAGTGCGTGGATCGTACCCAGTAAAAACTATGCTATCCTCATCACCAATGATCAACCGAATAGCGTAGGTGAACTCAACAATCCTATCATCATCCAACGAAAACATGGCAATATGCCATTCGAAAATATCGTGGAGCAAGTGTACTGGTTATCAAAAATATATATCAACAATCTATACTTTGCATCCCGGCTACCCGTGACCACCGAAGTAGCTAATAATCATGCCGGCACAGGTATGACTGAATGGCGGCCTAGCTTCATCAGTGGACCGGAACGCAATAACAACTACAAAAATATTCGTAGGAACTAAAAAATCAGCATTATGATGTATTAGTTTTTGCTCTCTATCAAGTATTAATTCATCCAAATATCACAACGCAAATATTTTGTCGTAACAAATCAAAATTCCCTTTTCTGAAAGAAAGGGTCTACAACACAAAAATGTTTGTTTGTTTGTCTGTCCAACCAATCAGAAACGAGCTTTTCTATTTAGCAGTTTCTATGGATTTTGATCACAGTTCGTTATAGGTTTTCGGGGTCCAGGAGCTCGAATCTGAAGTCTATTTTAATATTTTTTAATATTCGAGTTATTAATTTTTAATAATTATTAATATTTTTCATAAAACTTGACCAAAGGGTTATTGTAGGTGGGGAATCCGAATCCGACGTCCATATTAATATTTTTTAATATTTTTGTTATGAAAATTATTAATTTTTAATATTTTTCATAAAAATTGACCAAAGGATTATTTTAGGCGGGGAACCCGAATTCGAGATCCATATTAATATTTTTTAATATTTTTGTCATCAAAATTATTAATTTTTAATATTTTTTTAATAAAAATTGACAAAAGGGTTGTTCTAGATAAGGAGTCTGAATCTGTAGCCCGTTTTAAGGGGGTCTAGACGTGGGAGCGGCTAGCCGTGAGTGGCGCCCCGGAGGGGCGCCGACGAACGACTAGGCGCTCATTTGATATGTTGATCGAAATGTGCTTTCGGGAAGATCTGCAGGAAATGTAGCATGATTTTCAAGCACAGCGTCAAGGTTTTGGTAACGAGGAATTTTGAATACAACGTCGATTTTCCAGAAAGATCTGCAGAATTTTAAATTAGAATGAATTATCCACAACAAGCCTAATCGTTGGAATTTCGCATCAAGAGTTCTCCTATTGTAAATCCAATATTTTTTCCCAAGGAACCAACCGTGAATCGGCTAGATTGTAGACGAAAATGAATCAACGGTTAGTGAAGTAGAAGACAAGGTGGAAGCGGCTAGCCGTGAGTGGCGCCCCGAAAGGGCGCCGACGAACGACTAGACGCTTGTTTGATATGTCCATCGAATGTATTCTTCACACAGGGCTGGATCGATAGAGAAATTAGCAAGCGGTCTGGTGTGCCCGGTTGAAATTGTGTCCGAAGTCGGTGAAAAATAGCGGATGTTTTTCTATATCGATTCTCAGAATGTTTTTTAATTCTCACTTCGACTTTCCGAAATATGCTTCTCTCCACTTAGAAGTGCAGATAAAAGCCGTTTTTTGAAAGATAACTGTCGAATGCAAGCGACAATTGCGTCACAGTGAACCGGCAAAAAATATGCCCTGACCGGCTCGGCTTGACTTCTGGTACGGTCCAGTGCGGTCAGACTGATTTCAGCTCTGAGAGGAATGCTCAAAGACAGTTATGTGATAAATATAGGATGGTTCCTGCAATGAACGACAAGCCTGGAGTGGCGCCTCGAAGGAGCGCCGACGACCGACTCGGAGATGATTGGTGAACTTCATGAGAGAGTCTGTTGCAGCAGTTTGGGGGAAATATAAGACACTTTCTGGACTGACCAATTATATAAAGGATTGAAAAAGTGTTATGAAGTCCAGAGTCAAAATTATTTTGTAGAGCAAGATGCCATCTTTCAGAAAAGGGCTAGCGAATCCATCAGATGAGCGTTACTTGTGGCTAAGACTGCCGATAAAATCGACGACCCATTTTCACAATCAGCCGAGTGAAATAGTTATGACGTTGATACCAATTGTAATGTGCGACAGCGACATTGAATACACCGATAATAATCGCACTCAATATCAGCTGCAGATCCCACCAAAAAGAATCTGCCAGATAACAAATATATACCGTCGCACCAGCAATCGTCAGATATACACCAAAGATAAAAAATAGACCATTTCTGATGCCCAATTTATGCATACACGCACGCGCGAGCGGATTTCGCTCCTCGTCGATTACCTTGATTTTCACCAATGTCGTGAAGAGATCGGGGATTTTAGATGCGACTAAGATTATAGCCGATATGATCATCATGAGTGACATTAGTATTCTCTAAATTGGACAAAAGAAAACGTAACAATTTTCTTACAGTCAGCGTCATCTACTACATTCCGATGGGTCGTAGATACGATACAGCTGATATTCAATGCTCTCAATAACACTACCATGGCACATGTAAAAGTCAACTCACCCATAATGTGGGCGGCTTCGGGCTTCTGCCCATGAATATTATCAGCGTATTCAGTTGCTGAGGGTGAGGGTGAGGGATGAGAAGAGCTACCATGACATGTTTCGACGATTGCTCAGATACGTCGTTCTCAGATTTCGACGGTTCGACAATGTTTGGTCCGACGTTCGGGACATTATTAGCGCATTGATTATTGTTACAGATCCCTTTTCAGATTCCTTTATTCGTGTTTCTTTTCGAGACGGAGAACAAGACTGAGTCGATTAACGATCGACGAAGAGACAAGAAAAAACGAGAAGAGAAGCGGCCAAGAATGTGTGCCCGACGAGTGAATGGTAGATAACGATACAGCGAGAATGAAAGAGAAAGCATGTGATGCGAAATGCCACTAACACTTCGCCACCAAGAAAAAATGTGCGTCCACGCACATGAGAGACGAACGCCGAACAGTAAAGAAAAAGAAAAAAGAAAATGAAGGGTGAGGGTGAGTTTAAAGAAAATAGAATACCGCGACCGGTTTCGACTCATTTCAAAGTTTCATCAGGCGGTTTCTTTAATCTGCATAGATAATAAAATATAAAAACTCTTAATTAAATTGATAAGTCAAAAAGTTTTTTTACAATGTTAGTTTTAATTAAATGTTTGATGTTCAAATTGTTTTGCTCGTTGTTGAATGAGAGTTTTGCGTCGTGGGATATATGTAACCCTTTGAATATTTTTATTTGAATTGTTTTTCCATCGGAGTCTTCCTACTATTATATTGCTTATCTTTATGATGGGCATATTTCCATTCAAATGGACTTGGTCGTACATAAGGCTTTCATCACTGTAATTGTGTGTTGATGATGGTGAATAGATCTGAAACATAAATGGTAGTGATGAAAGTAGATGTCTTTATAGTGTTTTAATTTGGAAAAAATATTCAAGGCAATTTTTAGAAGCAAACACTTTAGCGAAGAGAAAACTATATCAGTTTTTGAATTAGTGAGGACGACAAAGCGAGAAAATTGTTATATTGTGTTTGGAAGCTAGTGCGAGTGCATTGCTGTAAATTGAATAATCCGTATTGTTTTGTTGTCTGAAGAGGGTGTGGGTGGGGTGAGGGTGAGGGTGAGACTAGCTACCATAATCTAGATTTCACTGGAACAACCCAGATCATCAGATGGCAAAGGTATCTTATGAAATTTTTAATTCACAAGACCAATTTCTACTGGTATATATAAATTACTATATATACTGAGAAAATCTATTTACTGTGGTGAGACTAGCTACCATAATCTAGATTTCATCGTTGCGTACGGGTGCTCGTCATCTGAGGGGCAGGTTCAGTAAAAATTGACTGTTGCTAGACAAACGTATGTTTCTTTATGGACAGGAGGTCTTCGGGTTGTGTTATGATATTTTATCAAATAATAATTCAATTTAGTATGGAGTAAAGAAAAGAAGAATCACAAAATATAGAATAATCTTTCATTGTTTCATACAAGTTATGTTCCTAGAATGAACAACTAACACCGTCAATGATTAACTATAGATGTCGATATCTTTTTTATCAAAAATTATTATATAATCGAAGATTCGCATCATCATATGGAGTAATATAAATAGGCGGCTTTAGCGCATGGTTTTTTTGTCACGTTCGTTGAATGTTAGTGTGATGCATACTTGTGTAGCGGCGTAACCACCGGGGGGGCTGGGGGGTGCAATGCCCCCTCTGTAAATGGTTTTGCCCCCCCTGTAAACGTCTCTTACCAAGCCAAAAACGACGTTTTGCCCCCCCTGTAAAATTTTTCTTTCGCTACCTTGCCCCCTCTGTAAAAATTTCCTGGTTACGCCTCTATACTTGTGGGCCCTATATGTTAATCGAAGTTAGATTAGAGCAGATGATTATATGCACGGTTGGATTTGGTTTATGGAGGATTGATGGTTGTGGATTATGTTTGCCTTCTGCTGTTTATGATTTGATAGTTGGAGGTCTAATATGGAATTGACGATAAGAATATTTAATCAGACCATAGTTTTGGTTATTGTGTGTTGTTTTTAAATCTGAAAAAGAAAAGGAGAAATGAAATTTGTCGATGACACTGTTAATAAATTTTATTATGTGGAGAAATATGAACTTGGAAGTTTTTGAATTTATACAGTTAACTTGCAACAAGAGAAACGATATGCTATTCTTCAATAAATAAGGATGAGAATCATTTTAGTTTAGATGAATTTCTTGTTTTTTTTAGGAACATGGTTAAGGTTGGCGTTGAGGATCGATTTAATGATTGACGAAGTTGCTTGGATTAACGCTCGTGAATTTGTTGACATTGTTGTATTTTTACCATTTTCCGATGTTGAATGTAATTGAATACTTTTTGACGAAGAGGATCGTACAGGATTTGATGCTAATAGGCTTTACCATTGTGAAGTTTCATTTCATCAGCATTAAATTCTTCGAGAAATGATAGAAATTTGCTAATAATAAAATCATTGACGAATCTGTCATGTCGAAATGATAATTGCAGATGTTGAAGTTTATTAGTAAAGTCAGACACATTTGTATAACATCGTATAGCAGGTATAAGAGCTATTCGGAACAATGTCTTATACTTGTATCGTTGACGACCAAATCCAAAAGGTAATGAATATGGTTCGATGTTTATGTTATGAGCAACTTGAAGTGTTAGATTACCAGAAATATGAGTAATATTCACATCTAGATAATTGATATCTTTATTAATAGTTATGACCCGTCGAATAGTTGGATAATGTCGATTCATTGTATTTAGTATATTAGAAAGACGCTCTTCGGATTCATTCCATGTAAAGAATATTTCATCTAAAGATCTGTAATACAGTATTTGTAGAACTAGCAAAAAAGAAAAATGTGAAGAATAATAGCTTTACTTGACAAAGATTTCGTTTTTATTATCTAAAATTGTTACTAAATCTTTTTGCCAATAATACATGTAGATATTTGCTAATATCGTTGTCAATGGTGATTTAAAACCACTTCCTTGAATTTGTTGGTAAACTTTCTTGTCACAAAGTATATATTGATTTTCAAGAATAACTCGAACAAGAGCAATAATCGTTGGTATAGTTATACCTTGAATTTGTTGATTAATTAGATGTTCGTAAAGGAAACATTGTAAAACTTCAATCATTTTTTCATGTGGAAATATGGTACATTAATTTTTAATGTACTGAGAAGGTCAGGATGGTGGAGTCGAAAAGTTTTATGCAATATGATCTTTGTCTTGTGTATCGATCGAACTGTCGAGTGGTTCAAGAGAAGATGGCTCTGGAGCAGACAAACAGTGATGATGAGCGTTTCGAATCATCGTTGATCGCTTCTTGGTTATTGATGAGTGTCGATGCATTGATGGATTGCTTATCCTGATGTTCCGCATCAGTATCAATTTTCTTCTCAATGAGTAAACATCTCAAACGATGATCGATAATCAATTGTTCAGTCTTACTCAACTGTTGATTGTTACCAATGATCATAGCTTTGTCTAATTCTTCAAAGGCAGGTGATGACAATTTATAATATTTCAATCATCCTGGAAAAGCTATCTCTTTTGGTCCCAATCTCGAATATCTTGGTTCAGCGCTTATCCTACCGTATTCATATCAACCCAACATTGATCTGTTTTAGTTTCAAAATAACCTTTCTTAGTTGATTCGTTTTTGAAAGTTCATTGTTTCTATCTGTCAACAGAAAAACAGGACAATTTCAAGACTTGAATTGGAAAATGAGAATAGCATGTCACTTATAAGAAGTTTTTGGAGTTTTTTCAGATCGAGCGGTGGTAACTAAAGCTCAATATATGATTCAAATGTATTGTTTTTGAAGATCTAGATAAAAAGATTTCGAGAAGAAGTAGTGTACATCGCTAGGCGAAAACATCGGTAGCGAAACAGCCGTATAATTTGGCTTAGCCATACAGAGGTTGTTGAGCGATTTAGTGCTGTCGTAGGTACCACAAAAAATTTTCAATCTCGTTGCCACTGTAAGTTTCGTGAGTGTGTATTTATTGTGTACAACACAGAAGCGAGACAACGAAGGAGAAGGGAGAACGAAACAAGGAGAGAGAAGACACACCAGTCAGGAAACACCGACTACATATATGTATGAAATGGAACGACGCAATTGTCTAGACATAAAGCGTGTGATGCGCGCTTTACCTGGACACTGATCTCATGCAATTGTATTTTATTTTGAAAAACATATCGGATTTCCACATGCGCGTCCACATTGAGTATCGATATTCTCCAGTTGGCAGGCAGCGGGAAAAGTCATATAGGGACAAATGGCACTGTCGCATATTTCTAAATAGACGCTAGTATATATGAGCAAATGTTGCATTGTTACCGATAATGAATCTACCTGCTTTCAACATATCTGCATCGTTATTGCAACTAGAGTATACAATACAATATGTAACACATCGAACCGAGTTCGAATGCAAACTTACAATGCTGTGTCGCAAAAGAGCCAAACATTGTCCTTGTCATAAACTGGCTGGCTAGTTGACTCGAGTGCCATAAAACCATGCTCCCAGGAGCAACCCCGATAGAGAACTAGCAGATAAACTTTGTCATACAAATAATGATGGAATCATTTGCATGCTCACCGTTCTTGTACGAATACGTGTAACATTGTCCGTTGCACGGTATCATGTGGCCACTCAACGATGGATGAACTTTGTTGCCACAAAGTGGGTTTCCTGAGTTACATTGGTAGCACCAGCCGGCAGGAGCTGTTCTGACTAAATAAGCAAGTCATTCCTATCGTAGATATAGGAATGAATCATCAAGCTCACTTTTTTCAGTCAAAACAATCACTAACAGCACTACAAAGAGCAAAAGTCGAGGCATATCTAGAACTGACAAGCCATCAAACAAACAGTAAGAATTATGAGGGAGAGTGAATTGTATCGCTGTTCATTTATTAATTTAACTGTTGTATTTCCAATTAGTCTTGATACCGAATAGCCTTGACTTTGGAGCCAGTGGCTTTTTGCAGCTCGAGTGTTGGTGAGCCTTCACTACTATAACTACGCATCACTGATTTGCCCCATTTGCCCATGTCTTTCATAAAGACTATCTTGTCGCCTTCCGATTTTTCTTCGGGTTTGCCGGGTAGTTTCACGAAGTCGTCAAATGCTGCGTTTAAGCCGCCCTGTTTTTGCCACTGTGGGGGGCTACTGTTCGGTATTTTCGTGGCGCCACCCGTTTCTGTCAGCTTGTCAAAGGGATTTACTGCATTGTTGCGTAACAAGACATTGATCAATCCTGCTGAGATCACATTGCTCAATAGATGTGAATAGAGCAAAACATCGTACGCGAACCTGTCTCCTTGTTGAAAACCCGCTGATGGGCAACAGTCGTTGTGAACCCAACAACAAGTAGCAAACCAAACGTCACGAGTAACTGTCTCATCATCGGCGTGTGATAGGTGAAATGAAAGAGGCAGATGTGACGGCTTTTATTTTAAATCAACATATAGTGGTTTTGAGGCGTACGATAACTTTACGAACGGCCTTGGTCTTAATGATAGGCTTAGCAAAGCTTAACTGTAGTCATATTCTGCGAAAATACGACACAATAAGTTCGCATACTCGTCATATAGTGTTAAGAGAACAATTTGACATTGACGACAGACAAGGCAAAAATCGTCCATGTTCGCACGCGTTCAAAAAGTCACATTTAACCCGTGCAAACACCGTTTTTTCGAAATCTTGACTGATAGGGATGAGTTCTTCGCATTTGACGACAGACATTCCCCGTGTGAAAGATTTTTCATGTCGAACTTGAACAAAGATCGACTTTTATCGTTGCATCATGTATTAAACCATTTCAATTCGAGAAGACAAAAGAAGAATTTCCTATGCTTAACTAGATGCATACTCAGAGAATATTCGCGAGTATTCACCAATAGACATGTTAGCCGCCGATATTTCGCCACATTCGGCATTGTCTCTTTTTTCCGAGTGACAGAAAATTTTGATGGTTCAATGTGGAGATGTTCGAATTTCGAAATCGAGTTTCGTTCGGTTCATTTTCAAATCGAACTCGGCCGAGAAAGGAGTAAAAAAAGAAGACAAGAACATAATTTTTTATCCAAGCTCTACGAATAATGCAGTTGCTGAAGTAAAGCAAAGAATAGAACAACGACGCGCACGCGCACATCCGTTATAACTGAGTCATCGTATGTCTAGTTGTACTGTTAGGGATTAGGTCTCGTTTCGTCGAAAATTTGTTTTCCTAATGTACTTGTTTCGTCGAAAATGAATCTGCAGACGTTCTTGTTTCGTCGAAAAATATACTTGGATTAAAAACATGGAGAGTATGATTAGTTTATTCGAATGCTTCGATTCTGTTGAACAGACTGATTAAAAAGAATTAATTTGTTCAAAAAAAACGTCTATTGTTTTGAATGATGGTATTGTTGCAGCCTATGGAACGTCCAGAGAACTGTCACTCTCCATCGGAATTCCATCTGAATTAATATGATACGATATATTTTCTTGTCATAAATATTTTATTACAAAAAGAAAAGAAACATTTATTGACCCTCAAGATTGTTCTAATTTCTACCATACCGTGCAAGTGATGTACATTGAGATAGTCCGTATCCACGAAAAAGGTCGATTAGGTTGTTGCCAAACTTTCCATATCTCACTATGACTGTTTCCGATATGTTTCCATATTGATACTCTATGAGTATTGTTCCTCTATATCTTTGATCACAGAGTTCGCCCTTCATGCGTTTTGTCGTCTGATATAAATCAATCAGTTTTGTCCATTCACTTGATTGAAGATTTTTGAATTGGGCTGTTTCATTATTGTATGTTAAACTGTAACAGCCGTTGGGAGGTTTATTAGGTTTGTATTCAAATGTCACTGAATTGTCAGATTTCTTGATAAATATCATTTCGTTATTTGGTGCATCATACAACCTTTTCTGTTTCACATTTCGTTTTAATTTCCTATTTCAAACTTGAAAACCACATCAGTGAAAGTTCAATTATTGAATGAGTTACTTTTACTGATAGCAGTGACAAAGAACATGTGCTGTGCAAAGGCACTAACAAGTTTTATGCGTCGTTTTTGTCGAAAAACGATCGACAATTTGAATGGCATCGTGGTCATTATTGATCATTGAGTTGTGGTTGTTGATGAGAGCGAGGCTACTCTAACGGTCATCTCGTATACTGTTAGGTACATGGGGCACTCCAAAAGTTTTTTCGCCCGGCTCTATGAAAAGACTTGACTAAGAACTAATTATACAGCTATAATGCCCAGACATAATTAGGATTATGCGTAAAGTTTCAGACTTATAAGTCTTATGCTTGCTGTAATACAGCATTTCTGTTACGCTAGGTGCACGCGACTTGCTAACGGATGACCCATAAAAGATAGTAGAAGTTTGCATTTCATATTTTGATTCCTAAACACGCTTTATTAAAAATACAAAATATACCAGAAGATGCAGCGTGAGAAGCTCTACAATTACTACAGGACAGCTAATTTGATAGTTACCTTTTTTGGGCTCAGAATCGACAAAGTTCTGAGCGATCAAACTTGGACGCTGTCAAAAACCATGTGATTTTGATAAAAGACAAATTTGTTTTTCTTATTTCATCTTTGTTTTACGTGATGTTTTGTATTAAACAAAAAGCAATACGTACCACAAGATGCAGCGTGAAACGCTGTACAATTTGCATAAGACAGCTACTTTTATAGTTGCACTTTTTGTTTTGAAAATCGACAAAATTTTTAACAATCAAATTTCGATGCTGCAAAAAAGTCGTTTTTTGTATGCGATGAACGCGTTTTTTTCTCATTTATCACCTGGTATGTTTTATTTAAAAAAACAAAATATACCACAAGATGCAGCGTGAAAAACTCTATAATCTACAAAGAATAGTTTATATTATATAGGCACCTTTTGTTTTTTTTAAATTCGTATTCTGGAGGCCAATTTTTGACGCTCCAAATATTCTATACTTCCTTTTTTGGTATTTTATCTTTTTATCACCTAATATAATTTCTTTAAAAAAATACAATACGACGAAAGATGCAGCATGAAAAGCTCTATAATCAGATTTGATAGATTTTGACCAATAAAAACGGTGAAAATCTGCTAGTCCAATTA